TATCCCCTTCTCTGTGCGAGTTTGCTTGTGTCCTCGTCTTTGCTTTATTCTGTTTTATTTTGTCTTTTGTTTTGTTTTTTACTGGCACGTACCCCCGCCCCTTCCTTTGGCCGTCGACCTGCCTCCATGTAGTGGGAGGCTACCCCCCCAGGCTGGTGGTGCGGCCGTTCCACTAGTCTAATTATTTATTTTATTTTATTTTATTTGTTTCTGATTATATTTTGTTTTCTTGTATTTTATCGCTCTGCTGACCCTTGGGGTCCATTTTATTTTGGTATACCTTTTCTAGGTACGTTAGCCTGTGACCACGGAAATTGGCCGAGTCAAGTGATGGATTAGTACGGAGAGATTGAGACAGAAGGAGGTACTGGATAGAGAGACCGGGATGGTTTTTAATGTGAAGACAACAACAACAACAACCCCTTCTCTACCTTCAGTGTCGTCCGTCCGGTGGACAGCACTACTATCCATCCTATGAGAACATACGACGAGCTGTAAGATAGCGCAAAGAATCTTGGTTCCGGTTCGTTGTTTTATTGTTTTCTTTTATGTACCCGATCTACTCACGAAGAAGCGAAAAAATAAATTAGAAAGGGAAATGGACACAAGTAGGTATACCCACCCCTTTCTCGGACAAAAAAAGTGGGTCCTCGAAAATCCAGCGCGCGCGCACTCCAAAGGCGGCCCCCAAACGACTCGAAACCCCATTCATTCTGACACCTGCGCGACACAGCCAGGGACAATACAGCACGGGCATCGATTTTTCCCACTTTCATGCACACCTTTGGCCCTAATACCACCGAGCGCGCAGGGTCTCACCAGAGTGCCCACTTCTGTCCGACATCGCGGTGGGCATACCCACCGGCGTCAACTAATTTTTTCATGTACCCACGTATGTCTATTTTGTGACCCACTTTTGTCCAAATTATACCCACGTTTGTCCACTTACGGACGGCGGAAATCAAGCGGAAATCGACCTCCACGTCACCGCACGGCAGAACATCGAATAGCCTCGGAACGTCTCAGAACCTCCCAACACCGTATCGATGGCATCTTTCGAATCCATGGCTGCCGACTGCGGACCGACCGCGGAGGAACATGTCAGGCACATGCAAGGCGGCGCCCGGGAATCTGCCATAGATGGCAGGAAAGAAACTCCTGCCATAACAAAAAAACGCCTCCAGAACCGACTCTACAGAACCAGATTTCAAACTGAAGCACTGAAGCCGAGAGCGCGCCTGCACCTGCCCACTGGCGAGGACACGCAGCATACGCAGCAGCGGGCAGCGGACCCGCGGTGAACCCCCGAACCCAACGGATCATGGATCACGAGCAGACCACGAGCCATAGCGTTGAGGCTGCCGAAGTGCTTCTCCCAGTCTTGCGTGGGCGTCCTTGCTACCTTGCAGGCCGGATGAAAGCGCTGCGCCCGCGCCCGCAACCTCCTCCTCCTCGCGAGGCACGGCGGTGAGTTCTCTCGCGTAGGTAGAGGTGGCATATCGGTGACCGCGGTACAGATTGGTGTGGGTGTCCTCAGTATTTCGCATGTAGCGTCGTTGGTTGCAACATGCATCCCAAGAACCTTGTCTCGCTCGCGCTTCAGGTGTAGCAGCGCTACTCTGTCGGAATCAATATGTTCGAATCAAAACCCTGTTCACGCTCACACTTACTGGGTCCTCCGAATCCCATGCCTTCTGCCGCACCCCATGGACCTGTCCCTCGAATCCCAACGGCGCAGACCTCCCTGTGCCTGCACTACTACGTAAGCTCAGAGGCCGGCGCTCTCGAGGAGCACGCTCCCCCGCGAAGGTTGGAGAATGAAATGCCACCCGAGATGATTCAAGAGCACGAGGCCTTGATCCGAATGCTGCACTTTCAAAACAACGACACCAAGGCTATCTACAAAACTATCCAGCGCGATGGGTGGAGGCTAGGAGCGAGAGGGAAGCAGCAGGTGGCTGTTGAGGATAGGCACCCGACGTAGCGTGTTCTTCTGAGCGAGCGAGGTGGAGGCATGAAGTTCGCATCCCAGCCATATCCCCGGGGAGGACTCCTCGTTTGGTCGCCCTCGTTTTGCGCGTACGTTTTGATGTCAGCACGTGTTGTGGTCGCTTGGCCATCAACTGTCGTGTTCCGTCGGCCCGGTACTGCGTGTATGTTCGCCGTAGGTGAGAACCATGAGGACGCGATTCGAGAAGGAAAGAGCCGCAAGCGTAGGAGGTGCCAACGACGCCCAGCAGTTGTTGCGGCAGCTTCAGTCAGAGGGTTGCTGGATGAGTTTCACCTTGGACAACAGCGGGCGCATCAACCGCATCGCCTGGGCGCTGGACGAGCAGAAGAAAAATGCGCTGCGATACTACCCGCTCATCATCCAGGACAACACCTTCAACACTAACCAGTGAGAGAAGTTTTGAGTTTGCTGTGTCCCGAGACCTCGGGGCACACCGGTGTGGTTTGAGCATTCCCGTACGAAATGAAAGCAGCGTCGCGCTCGCCTCTACCGTTGTGCGAATGTCTTCCTTATAACACGCATGTCCGCTGTGTGCCCAATTAGTTCGTGACCCTCCGACCAGGTACAAGTATCATCTGGCACTGATTGTCGTTGTGGACAAGGAGAACTACACCCACATCGCGATGCAGGCCCTGCTCTCCAGCGAGCGGACGGAGGACTTTGAATTCCTTTTCCGGGAGTTCAGGTCACTGATCGGGGGTGCGCAGCCAGAGGTGAGCCAAGTGGCCATGTGCAGTGTACAGGGAACGTTCAGCACACACACACATGTGACTCGAGTACCGCAGGAGGTTGTGCGATTTTTTTGCCTACGAGGGGTTCGGCCATCTTTAGTTAACGTTGTCATAAATACAGGGATATCGCTGAGAGCATGGTTCTGAAGTCCGCGTACGCTTTCCTGCTATGTTATGTTCGTCGGTTACTCTTTTGGCGAACTAGGTGATATTCACTGATAATGACGCGGCTGCGATGGCGGGAATCGAGAAGGAGAGCCCGGCGTCGCGTGGCAAGGTGTGCGTGTTCCACATGGACGAGAACTTGAGGAAGCATGGCAAGGGTCTCGGAGAGGGCGTCCTTGCGGCGGTGATCGGACTGTTTCACAAGGCGGCATATTCTCAAACCGAGGAGGTAAGTGGGTAACCGTTAATGCGAAAGTCCGTTGTTGTTGTCTCGTGCGTGAAACCACGCAACACCTGTGGGGTTGCCGTGGGGTTGTAACAAACAGTTGCGCTGTGGGCGAGTAAGGGGCAATGGGTCGTTTGGGTTGCGGGTCGGCTACGCATTGCGTGTGCAGGCGTCGGTGCTTCCTTGCACTCTCCTGGACTCTGTCCCACGGAGGGTTTGGATCATTGAACGTGGAAGAGCCTGACAGGTGGTGCAAGGAACTGGATGCAATCCGCGGGATCTTTGGGGGTTTCATGTGTCATGGATATGTGTGTGTGGGCATCCGGTGCCCCCTACGGAGAGAGTCCGCGTGGCTGCTCTAACTCGTTCCTAACATCTTGTCTATGCCCCCCGATCTCCGCCGGATGTTCTCCGACCCTTCGCCTGCTCCGCTCTATTCGCGCCCCAGATGTTCCTTCAGCGCAAAGAGGAACTCTTCAAGCTGTTAGATCCGGGCCGCCACATGTACACCTACATTACTGAGTGCGTTTTCTCCCCCAAGTAAGCACTGCCTGGCATGGCCCTAAGCCGAGTTAGTGACACGCATACAGCAGCATTGTCCTCGGGAGTACACCGGGGTTAAGGATAGCTGGTGCTGGTGCGAGACTGTCTTGTTGGGTTTGGGTTGCGGTAGGGTTAGGATCAATTAGTATCCCCGGCTTTTGTGTGCCTTCGCCACCCCGCGGAGGGAGAAATGTCCGTGGCCAAGGGGGAGGCTGTTGTTTCAGTTGGTGTTTTACTCATGTTTCGCTAGTCGTTATTCACCATGTCGTCTCCCGCCCCAGAACTTCGTGGCGCCAGCCGCTCTTCCTCACTAAATTTCGAGCCGGCCCGGCATGTGTCACAGGTGGGTCCAGCGGTGGGCGAAGTACGTGCACCCTGGGCTCCCCACGCTCGGCATTTCCTCCACGCAGCGAGTGGAATCGACCAACGGCGCTTTGAAGCCGGCCATGACGAGGACCGGGACTATGGTCGACGTACACCGGGCCATCAGCGGCAAAGTCAGCGACGACGTGAACAAAACGAAAACGTGAGCGGCTGTTCAACCTGTGCGGTATTTTTCGAAGAAATTGGGTCGGTTGCGTCAATATCGAAGCGAGGGCAAGTCAGTCAATATCAATATCAGGGAACAATCCAACGGGGAGAAAGGTTGCTGCCTACCATCACATCTTTATGTTTGAGTTTTGTCGGCCTTCTATTGTTGTTCCCTTTACCGGATTATTGTCTCTGCTTCGCAGTTGAACTGCTCTGGGATGCCGGGGTTCCGGCAGTATCATTGGCCCATAAATATTTTTCTTTTGCGTTGTAATCGGGAGGGACTCCATCTGTTTGTTGGGCTCAAGTTGTGGGGGTACCAAGACCTTCTTTGACGCTCCATTTTTACATTGTGCGTGACATAGCGTGTAGAAGGGAGCGGGGGACTTGACGCCCATTTGCTGCTGTTGTCTATGTCTATGCGACCCCTCGCTTTAAAGTGAAGATAACACCCACGCCATCACACCACAACGTGCCTTTGCACTGTGTTGCTAACTCTATCCCGTACTTTTCACCTTTAACGGCGTCCTTGTTTTGTGCTCTTTGCAGGCAAACCACCGGGGGGCCGATCCAACGCGTCCGTGTCCCGACGCAGTCGTCCTTTGGGGATGTGAGGGACAGCTGGCTCGCCGACTTTAAGTTCGTCCACGATGGCATGCTCCACGCGGGCTGCAGCGCGTTCGCAATGAAGGTGAGGTTAACCTCTATAGGTCTACGAAAGGGTGAACCTTTGGGGTATCGCTCCTCCCTCGACTTTCGGGTTTTGATCCAGCCCCCCGTGTGACCCTGCCGTGCTTGCTCGTACTGCTTTCGGAGCGCGCGGTTATGTTTGCATTCCATACGCATCTCCAACAATGACACTGTTCGGCGGACATGGGCCAAGCCTCCGCAAGTGCCAGCCTTAATCGTCGCCCTTTCCTCCTTCCGCGTACCCCGGCTTTACGCTCCGTCCTTCCGCTACCGGTAGGACATGTCCGACGAGGCGTTGGCGGCTGTTGGGTACAGCGCCGAGACCCTGGCGACGGGTAACGACGATGTTCACCGCCTGCTGACCGACTTCGTGGCGAACCCGCCTCAGGCGGGGCTGCTGTACGAGACCGACGTAGGCGATGTCACCCTCGCCACCCGGACCTCCATCGAGTTCTTCGCGGAGTTGCTGAAGGACCAGGTTCTCGATCGACTCGTGCGCGTCTCGCGATCCTTTGGGGACCAAACCAAGTACTGCCAACTCGTCGCTCTTGGACCCGACGGCTTCTTCCTGTGCACGTGCTTGAGGATCCTCGTGGACGGTCTCGGCTGCCGCCATGCCCTCCGGGCTATGCGCGGCACGGATCTCGGCTTCACCGGAGCGTGTATTGCACCCCGCTGGCGTGACGGCATTATGCCGTGGACGATGGGACGGCTCGCCGCCAAGCCCGCGGTGGCGGCGACGACGGATGCGGGGGGAGAGATGCCGCCCCCACCTGCGGATGCCAGCGCTTTCTCCCGCTTCTCCCACTCCAAATCCACGGTGAGAGCTAGCGCGTGGGCCAGCTGCTGCGCCTGGGGCAAGGAGCTGGCAACCATCACAGCACCGATCGACAACGTCGCCGGCATCACACGCATCCTGGACAACCTCACCATCCACGCGCGCCAGCTGGTCGACGTGGAATTGAGGTCGCAACACAACGCGTCCACGACCCGGGTGTTCAAGGGAGTCGTTACCAGGTCTACGCCCGCCCCCGATCCGCCGGAGGGAGGGGGAGTGGGAATGACGCCGAGCGGGGATTCTGGGAAACGGAAGCACGGAGCGACCGCCCGGGGGGGGGCAGGGGACGTGGCCGGGGCCGCTCGGCAGGGAGAGGTGGAAGAGGAGGGGCGGGCGCTGTTGTTCCAGCGGTGGGCGCTCCAAGCCCTGGCGGGGGGCTTCCGGCCTTGCAACAGGCGGCCGGGGCTAACGCCACCAGCGGGGGAGGGGGAGAGGGACGCGCTTGTGTCTCAGCCGGGGGGCGTCCGGCCGGTGCCATCAGCGCGGGGGGGGGGGGCGTCGCCGTTCCAATCCCTGAGTAACGCACCTCGTGGCGGGGTGAGGCAGGCTTTGCTAGGTCTCGCTTCCACGGCATTCGACTCGGCAAGCTCCTGTGCGCCCGAGAATTTCCAGCAATCGAGACTGAACGGAGCAATGTGGCAGAGCGTCAACCACGGCCATCCTCTGCCTCCAGCGCCCGACCAGCTCGCTGTCCTCGAGGACGTGCAAGCGCCCCAGCGCCAGAAACACACGGGCCCGTCCAAGAGACGAACCTCCACGCGACAACGGGACGCTCGTGGGGGGGGACAGCATGTAATCCAAGGAGGTGCTGCAGGCGCGTGGGGGGGACAAGGAGGTGCCGCAGGCTCTTGGGGGTCGTAGCGTCTTTGGCTACCTGGTGGGCCTTCAGTGTTGGAGTAGGTTTTTTGGGTGTTGCGTAGATACACGTTCGTTGCAGACCGCCGCGGCGCATGAATTGGGGAGAAGGTCTTTGTACGCTTATGGCGGGGGTGGTGGGCGATACGGCGAATGAAGCGCAAAGTTTCGCGGGGCGTCTTGTAGCGGGACTTGTACAGAGGGGCATCGTGGGGTGACCTGCGTGCAGTTTTCGATATGGGGCATAGCAGCAATGCCCGTGAGCGAGCGTTGCCAAAGTGTTTTTTGCGGCTTGGTGATAGACTACAACGGGTGCCAGCGGTGGCAGTGGATTACAATGTATTTCCCCCGTCTATTATATATATTGTTGTGGTGTTTGAAGGCTAGTTTCGTACGTACTCGTGTTCGCCGAGAGTCACGTACGGTGGTGCTACCATGGGTGCTGCTGCAGTAGTATAAAATTACCATTATTTGTCGCATTAGACGCCGGCATGCCTGCGCTCGCGTTGCGACGCCCGCTCTCAAGATCAGGCCTATTGGCGTACCAATATACAAAAGGATGCACTCATTGTCCCCCGGGATGCTCTAATATTTACATCCGTATGCTGTGTACATCTACTGTAATATGCCGTCCCTTCTTGCGCAAGGCACTTCGTCGTTGTAGTACCGTGGTAACAAAATATTCGAAACTACTACTGTGTAGACTACAACAGTTATGGTGTCTTCTTGTACGGGTGCTGCCTATCAAGGTGCTGATTGTAACTAAACGTTTCGCAACCCATTGACAACGGTTGTGCAGCGCCCCCGCCCACCAACGGCCGCAACGTGCGCCCTCCATGCTGACAGCAGTAGTAACAACAGAGCAGTGCTTCGGGAGAGGCTGTGCCTCGGGGTTCTAAGACAGTAGTGAGCGTGCGGAGAGAGGCTGTGCGTGGTACAGGGTATCTAACAGCAGCCGTACTTCTTGCGAGCGTGCTGGCGTGCCACTGCTGCACCTGTTACTGCGCCCTGCTACCCTGCTACCCTGCTGCCGCTCTGCCGCTGGTGCTGAAATGGTTCTGTAGAGTAGGTTCAGAGTAGGTTCAGCAGGCGTTTTTTGTTATGGCAGGAGTTTCTTTCCTGCCATCTATGGCAGATTCCCGGGCGCCGCGGTGACCGCACTCCAAAACGAAATCGAGTGCAACGTAGCAGCCTTCGTAGAAGTGTGCAGGTTTCGTCTGTTGCTACCGTTTCTGTCTTTGATCCGGATAATAGGTTAGTCTCCCCCATGCCGCCCCCTCACAGGGTCCCAGTTAATGGCATTTAGAAGTGTATTTTGTTTTCACCCGCACTGAGACTGACGTCTTTTCATTGGTCAGCCGGTTAGCGCGGTCGATGCTATTAATAAAAGCACGAAACCTCGGTCGCATGCCAAGGTAGGGGATTCCAAGACCCACCTGCTTCCCAATCGTGGGACATTTGTGCTCCTGAAGGACCAGAGCAGCAGAGCTGCAAGGTGTGTGTACAAGCGGTGGTGGTTCGGTGGTCTCCCGGGTTTGAGAACCCCCACCCTCTATTTCCGTTCCACGGGCCCTCTGTATTGTCCCGTCCCGCACATCACATGACAGTCCTGCGCGTACGTAGAAAAACACTGCATTTAACGCACCCACATGTCAGTGATGAAACCCCAACCACACGCCTCTATCGGCGGCCACGTCAGGAGGCAATGATGAGACAATGTTCTCCCGTGCCCTTCTCAGATTCAACGACATGCCATTACACAACAAGGTAAATATGTTCCCCGGCGCCGCACATACATGCCCCCATACATCACTCGACGCAGAGATCCGGGAGGTCCATAGCCGTGACCATCTCGTGGTACTAATGGACGCCAACGCACGTACTGGCAGGAGGCGAGACGGATGCTGCGATGCCAAGATTATGGGCGCGTACGGACGCGACATTATGAACAACAACGGGGAACGACTTCTCGGACTGGCAGCAGACAACCGACTCTCCCTGATCAACACCTACTTCCGGACACCGAAAGGAGGAGTGCAGCATACGTTCCAGAGCTCCAACAAGGGGAAGGAGAAGCACCGCCTCGACTTCATCCTCATGCGACAGACGGACCGGCGTCTCGTACGTAATGCC